ACTTAGCATTAGAGTCTCCTTAGATTTGGATATGCCATAAGGTCTGTAATCTAATTGGTACCCTATCAAGTGCTGTTTGCTTTCATTCTCAACGTCCCAAGTAAAAGTTATCGTTGATGCGTTGATAAACAAGATTTTCAAATTAACGGAAGCGAACGCTATATTAACAAAAACAACTATCGTTACTACCACGCAACTTATAATGACACCCAAGCTAAAAGATGTCATACAGCTCTATAAGGGTAGTTAGTTGACTCACTATTACGGATATCTTCTGAACTAGTTTTAATTTGTTCTGTCCTTGAAAATGGTCCTAAACCAACTGACGTTGCAGCGGCAACTTTGATTGAATATAGCGAATCCGGTAGAACGTCTGGAATTTTAAAATTTTTTAAGTAGCTGGGGGTATCGTAGACATTGTTAGTTCCAGTCCCTATGTCGGTGCAACTGATATAGTATCTAGTAATTTTTCCATTTTCATACAGTGGATCAACTCTTTCCCACTTCACTAAGATTGACTATAAAAATAGCCATATAAAATTTTAAGTGTTTTGTTACGTAAAATTGAACTCTTTTAGACATTTAGAAGTTAAACAAAAGCTAGACTTACCAATGAAACCAATGATAATTTTAGTGTTCGTGGTGATGCTGTCGGTGCTGAAAATAAATGAAGTATAGTATATTTGAGCTTTAACCAGAATCAAAAATTACAACAAGCATACGATAGCGATCGTACCATCTTCCGCTGTTTTTACGATTAATTTGTTTGAAGGTTGACTCGCCGTACGATAATTCCATGCTTTTACAACAAACGTATACTTTCGCCACGGCTTCAGATCTTTCTTAATGGCTACGCTTTCTTCAGAGCGGGAGGTAGTCTGACTATATATGAGGGCTGGGTTATCAACTGGCCAAAAGTCGATCGTATAATATATTTCAGGATTCAAATTAGACGGTGAAGCATTCCAAGCAAGGGTGACAGTATAGGCCGTAACACTAACACTTCTTAAATTCTGCGGAGGATTAGGAACAGGATCTATACGAACATAGTGTAACTTCTTTAAAAAAACATAACATCGTAACTACGTTTTTTTGTATTGAGTATCTTATTCATAATAAGATCTAATTCTAAGACATACATTCTTCAACGGTCAGCATAAAGGGCATAGATAAAGAGCTCCCAGCCTCATTTGTTGCACCAATCTGGTAATATCCTCTATCTTTACCTTCAATTTGATTCATTCTAAAGCTAATTACTTCGTTATCATTGCTGCCAGTACTCGTAGTCTTCCGTGTTAATTGATGCCTAGAAGATGGATAATTATATTGCATAGGATTTCCATTGTGCAACCACTGTAATTTAGTCTTTGGTTGGCCAATAACTTTGCACTCATAACTTAGACTCCCGCCAACTGGTCTAACAATCGAAGTTAAATTGACAGTTTTAATGGTTCCCTGCATTCCGAACTTGAAAGTGAAGTGGCGTATGTAACATACAATCCTAGGAGAAGCTATTGAAATATATGAGATTTATCAATTAGAATAAACAACAGAACGCTTTGTGATGATCTCAGAAATATTACTTTTCATTGACAAGCCTTTCATTTTTAAATATAAATATGATGACGGTTACACGTTTATCACTACTTCGATTTTAAGCTTATAAGTTTCAAGAAATTACGCCATATAGGTATAATACAATCTCAGTCTCTATCAAATACAGGTATACAGGTAAAATAAATTGAACATCACGAGAACACGTTACTCAAAACTTGGATTGCTATGCATATCTCTAATTACGTCATATCTGAGCTTAGGATTTCTATTAGCTAAATTTCATCGATTGATCATAATATACAATATAGCATCAACACTATGCGCTAACAAGATATGTTACAGTGGGCACAATTTGCATATCATGAAACTGAAAATTATCTAGCTTTCATGAATATCGATATATCATTTAGCTTTCGAATAATTTTGCTTATGAAAGAAATACAAATTGGCTAATCTTGTACATATGTTTAGTAATGTTGATTTCATAAATCTACTTACTTATGACTTTCAAATAAGTAGGCGGACACTTGACCGATTTATGATTATGAATCGCAATAACTGTGCAGGTCCAAATACCATCGTGAGCGGATCTAATATTTCTTATGGAGTGCTGATTATGACCGTCAAGTGGTATAGGAA